TATTACACTTACATATTATGCTTTTATAATTATTAGTTGTAAAACGGTCACCAGGCAATATTATCGTTTATCGCAATAATTTTTGAGACAATTAATCGCCCAGCAAAATTTGTTATCGTGACAGGCCTATTCTTTACCTGCTTAACAATAAACTAAACATAGAATACTGTAATTTAAAAAATAAAGGAGTCAGATTTATTGCTGGAAATGGATGTAAATTAATCTAGATCCAGAAGTTTCAAATTGTTTTGCAGGTTTCCCTTACTGAAAGAAATTTTGCAATTTTATAGGTTTTAATTGGGGAATAAAGAACTCAATTTAGTCAATTCTGATGAATAAAGTCAGGATTTAGGTCACTCTTTCATTGAAAATGCTTTCTGTATTCAGATGAATGTAATAAATGAATTTAAAGCAGATTGCAGTACTTTGTGATAAATTTGCTGTAACAATAAATAGAAAGTCTCTGTCTACATCAAACATGTGCCGGGGGACAAATTTATAAACAAATTAGTATAATTCTTGAACTGAAGTCAGGGGCCACACAAAATCAGTTCAGGGGCCACAAATGGCCCCCGGCCACACTTTGGACATCCCTGCTCTAATATTTTGTTGGACAGCCTTTAGCTTTGATTTCAGCACACATTCTCTGTTGCACTGTTTCAATAAGTTTGTGCAGCGTCACAAGCTTTATTTCATCCAGTGTTGTATTAATGATGATGATGGTAGAGTCTGACCTTCTCCAGAACATCCCAAACATTCTCCACGTGTGAAGATGATGTCTCATGCTCCCTGAACCACTCTTTCACAATAAGAGCCCCATGAATCCTGGCATTGTCATGTTGGAATAAGGCCGTGTCATCAGAGATGAAACAATGTGTTGGACAGTTCTTAACCTAATTTTACTAGTTTCTCTAATCTACTTGGATGTTTTCTCTGCTTGATTGATGCCAGTGATTTGAGCCCTCTCAAACAGACCGACATCTTTTCTACRACCACGGGGTGTGTGTTGTTTTTCCACATGGTTGTGTCAGAAATAAGAATCAACTWATCGCAGCAGTTGATGTTAAATAACTTGTTGCAGCTGACAGATTATCCAGGCAGTAACTGTCCAACAGGAGGCTCGTACCTTTTTGCTTAGTTATAAATCCAGGTGGCAACTTTTTTGGCAAGGCAGTGTACTGAGTGTAGTGTAGTGTGTGTGTGTGTGTGTGTGTGTGTGTGTGTGTGTGTGTGTGTGTGTGTGTGTNTAAAAGAGTTCAAACACCACTAGTTGGCAGTGTTGTACATATATTGTACATGAATTGTCAGCTAGTAAGTGTCAAATTTAATTTGTGGTTTAAAATTAGCTTCCATGAGTTTTTCTATGACATAAGCATTTTTGAAGTTGCGGACCTAAATATTTTCATGAGCGCTTTAGAAATTGTGGAGMTAATTTTTGGATTATGGAGCTAATTTTTGGATTAGCGCTGCCCACCACTGCTGAACTCTACTGAAAACATTAGTGATTGAATGGAAACGACAGGAATGATGTTGAAATTACTTGGTTTATTGTTATCTTGTCTTATTTAGTTTCCTGTGGTCTGTGTATGTTTTATCTGCTCAGCTTGTTCAGTCAGGATTATTTCTTCTGCCACTGACAGTCTGAGCCTGCCTGTGCTTTTATTTTTATTTTAAGCAGTGACTAATGTAGTGATGTATGTCCCTGTCACAGGCAGTCAGGTGTCCATCAGCAGAGTAATAACCTTGTTTTTTAGCCTTTCAGAGCACTGCTACTTTTACTATCTGAATGTTTTACTACCTATCCCATACCTATCAGTATTAAACAATACAAGAGTGAAATCCTGATTCCTGAAATGTTTTGTAGTATTTAGCAGCTACAACTTAGTTATGAAGCTGATTTCTAATAACTAAATGTTTCTTGGATGTAAAGCAGCAGGTAAATTTTAATTTTTTTAAAGCACGAACTGAACCAGAAATAACATTTAAAGAGTTTGAAAGAACCGTGTTTCATTAGATAGAAATAAAATTTGACCATCAGGGTGATTTATAAGAATTACTTAATGTCTTATTGTAAAAGGCCTTTTTCACTCTTTTATCAAGATTTAGCTTCAGATTAATTTGGGCTGCATCTGATCAGAAACCTGCAGCTGTGATCTGTCTCGTTGTAGTTGTAATAAAAACACTAAACTAATGGTGCGTTCACACCGAACGCGATTTCAGCATCAGGAGCAGCAGGTTTACATACAAAGTCTATGGTGGAC